TATATATATATATATATATATATATATATATATATATATATATATATATATATATATATATATATATATATATATATATTTATTTATTTATTTATTTTAAAGCAGTTTTATTGTTATTTTAGCAGTCAGCCTCAAGTGTCATATATTATTTTAAACAGCAGAACCTAAAGCTTCAATCTGTATCATTTAAACGTCCGGTCTAAAACTTTTTTTGGTCCGAGAACATATGAACAGACAAAAAATATTCCAGAATTTTCAGAAAAACGTTTTTTTAAAAAGTGGCTTCCTCTAGTTATTACAGATGAAACCTCATGAAGTTTTTTTTTTTCTTTATAAATATACGCAATGATGTTTTATACTTCCAAAATAAATTTTGCCTACATCCACCTTTCCCTGAGCAAGTTATAGCAATTTATTTCAATGTTATTCTAAGGCGTTTTTCAGCTGGAAAAACTAGCGCATATATTTACTGACAATGTAAATGGCCAAAAGTTCTGGGAATGAAATAAACAGAAAGATTGTTACAAAATAACAGAAAACTAAAGCAAGTTTGACTTTTTCCAAATAATAAATTTTCAGTTACCATAAACAACACCACTTACAATGAACAAATAAAAAATAATAAAAGTCCAAATAAACATGGTGCAAATCCTCAGTAAAAAATATATATATAAATATTTACTATACTATAAATAGTTACATAACTAAACTAGATTCAATATGGACCATCCTTAGGTTTCATGTGCCAGCATATGGTGTTGACCCTGCTGCTTCTCAACTTTTGAGTTGCAGACAAACAGCCGCACCGTCATTTGCGTCCTTTGAAAACAGCAAGAGCAGCACTTCGTCTTTGCTGTGTCACTGTTTTGTCATGTTTTGTGCTGTTGTGCACGCAAAAGTATTTAGTATGAGAATTATTTCATGCAAACTTTTTTTTTTTTTTTGCGTTTTATTTAGCTGTGCGTAAATGTACAGCTCCATTTTGGGTTGTTCAAATTTCTGATTGCTGGTCCACAACGCAAAACCTATGCTTATTCGTTGAGAGAGAGCGAGTTTGGATCTGGGCATGGAGGAGGGACAATGCATCAATGCATCATGTCTGGTTTGTCCGGAGACACAAGCCAAGAGCGTTCATTTGTCAAATCAGCGTTGTCAAAATGTGATGACGGAACCACACTGCTTTCGGAGACTCCGAAGGTCCGTGAATGTAATGCTTTACAGCAATGGAAAGCTGAGACTCTGTTCTTCATGCCAATCTTTGAATTGTACGGAGCGGATCAAAAGTTATTAAATATTTAATACTTATTTTTAGCCGCGGGCGGCTGTTTGGGTCTTTAAGGGTTAACACACCTGCCTGGAAGTTTCTCGTACACCTAGAAAGAGCTTGATAAGCTAGCCCAGGTGTGTATGAGGACACCCGCCCTGCGGGACTGAGCTTAGACACCCCTGGGTTAGAGTAACAGAACAATGTGTGCTAGCAAAATAAATATAGTGAATTTAGAGTTTACTAAGACGGTACACTGTAATTAAATGAGCTGTAGTCTGTTACTGTAGATTTTATTAGGTCAATGATGTCAATTTCCATGTCCTGTAGGAAACACAGCCTGTGTGCCAAACGGCAGTCCTTCAGCGACACCATCTACAGCATCTCTGGAGGCGGGCAGGAGGCGCAGTGGGAAACACACTCCATCGTCAGCTCGTCTCTGAACGCCTTCACGCTCCCCGTCATCAAACTGAACAACTGCGAGATGCAGGAGGCCGAGGCGTCTCGGAGGAGGAGCTGCGGAGGAGCCCTGGAGACCCGCGCTCAGGTGTCCCGCACACACATCTCACGCTCACAGGACTCCCAGCTGGAGAAACGACCCACCGCTGCTGGGTCACTGCTGTCTCAGCTGGAGAAACGACCCGCCGCCGGGTCACTCCTGTCTCTGAACACACTGCCGGACGCAGCCGGAGCCCGTGGGGAGACGCCCGCGCGCAGGTTCAGCTGCCCTCGACTGGAGCGCTGCAGCAGCAGGAGATACAACAAACTAGCAGAGCTGAGCGGAGACTCACTGGAGACACCTGACCCTGACACACACAC